TTTCATTTTGTATAACTTTATTTTTCATTATTATTATTTAGCTTTAGTGAAATAAATCGTCTAGCTAAATGATATTCGCTGAAATTATGTGGATAAATTAAATAACATTGAGTGAAATTTTAAGTATAAGTAGATTATGGCGATAATGATGGACAAATATATTTTGAAACAGAATTAAAATTTATAATTTTAAAAATTAAAATAATTTCCAACTGTAGCGAAATTCTTATTTACTCAAAAAATAATAAATATAAGCGCAATGTGTATTTGAATATTTAATGCATAGTAAAAAAGAAAGAAAAAAAGGAAGACGTAAACTGCATTAGTAAATGTTTACTTAAAAAGAAAATCCTTCAACCCTAGTAAAAAAAAATGAATATATAAAAAGAAGCAAAATTAAATTATATTATTTAAATTCTTGAACATTAGCATACGTGTTGTAACGATGATGAATTCATATTTTTCAATGGACTAGATTTATAAAAATGCTGATTTGTTTTAATGCAATACTGAATAATAAAATCATCTATATCTAAATGTATACTATTTCTATCCAATTTACGACTGATTTTAATTAAGTAATTAGGCCATAATGGAGCATTACTTTAACTTATAAGAAAAATAAAATAATATTTTTATGAACTTTAACACCTCTGATTTCAGCTGAAAAGAAACGTTGATTCGCTGTGAAGAGCTGCTTCTTCATTTACTCAAATATTTTAGTGATAAATAAAAAGTTTGAAAGTTTTAAAATCTTTCTTTCATTTTGCATAGACTCTCAAAACTATGGATTTATGTCACAAAATTTTTACTAATAATTTACAACTGATGTTCATACGATATAAGTGATATCAAAACTAAAATAGCATTGAAATAGCCTTAGTGGATGGAGACGGCACGTTTCCATTTAGCACATGTGACGTCATGACCAATCAGGTATCGTTTTTGATTGCATCACTTACGGAGGCCTATTCGGACAATCGAAATGTTTAATAACTAAATAAATAAACATTTGGTGAAAAAAAAAATTAGATTTTCGGTTTTAGGATAAAATTTCCAATAAGTTAGGATTGAAAAAAAAAATTAAGTTCATTAAAATTAAAAATTAAAAATAAAATCGATATTTTTCATTAAGCGATACACATGATCAGTTTATAATCTGAAGAATTATGGATAATTTAATTATAATTTAACAGCAAAGAGAATCTAATGTTAAAACTCGAGATGAAATCAGGAACGTTTCAAAAGGAAAACATTTAAATAAATAATAAAAATAATATACAGTAATTTCAATTTGACGGTAGAGAAATTCTATTGTTAAAAACTTAGTACAAAACTTGGAGCATTTCAAAGGCAATAATAAATAATAAAAATAATAAAACAATAATGATAAAAATTCAGCAGAAAAGATTTCTATTGCTATAACTTGGTACGAAATTTAGAGCATTTCAAAAAGAAAGTTAAAAATTTCAACATCTACTTTTAGAAAATTTCTACAACTTCAATAAAAATTTCAAACAATTGTACAGAAAATGTTTTAATTAGTCCTTGAAAAAGATTTTTGAGATTTAAATTGCATTGAAATTGATATCGTTTGAGTTCAAACATTTTTATTCAACTACTTATTAACACATTTTTATTCAACTACTTATTAACACAATTTTATTCAACTACTACTTATACTTATGATCAGAGTATTATGCGAAGAAGAATTATGAATAATGTAATTACAATTTAACATAAAAGAAAATCTCATGTTTAAATTAAAGACGAAATTGGGAATATTTCAAAGGAAAAAATATTAATAAATTATAAAAATGATACAACTTAATTTCAATTTAATGGTAGAGAAATTCTATCGTTATAACTTGAAACAAAATTTGGTGCATCTCAATATAATAAATATATCTCAATAATAATAAATTAATAAAAATAATAAAATAAATAAAAATAATAAAATAAATAAAAATATAAATAAATAAAAAACTAAAAGCAGTGAATAAATAAAAATAATGATTAAATAAAAATAATAAAAAGATTAACGGAAAGAATTTATGCTGCTATAGTCACGAAGAAGATAACATTTCAAAGGAAAAGTTAAAAATTTCAACTACTTTTACAAAATTTCTACAACTGCTATAAAAATTTTAAACAAGACAATAGAAGTTTTTAATTAGTCCTTAAAAAGATTTTAGAGAGTTACAAGCGTTGAAATTGATACCGATAGTGCTAAAAAAATTTATTTAACGATACTCATGATCAGAGTATTATGAAGAAGAAGGGATAATTACAATGGATGGAATTGAAGGCCGGGATAGCCTGGTCGGAGGTCGTGGGTTCGATCCTCGCCGGCCGAAGACTCCCCGTGTAGTAAATGGTGACTGATGCACGTTAAATTTGTCGAGTCTCAAAGTCCTCCATGTTCCCATAACAAATCAATACCTCTGGGGGTACTGATCCAGGAGTTTCCTTGTCTTCTGGATTGGTTCAAAATTACAAGGCTACGGAGTTGAACGTAAGTAGTCGTAAACCCATGAAATTGGGTCGGCTGTTCAACGACGGTTATAAAAAATAAAATGGATGGAATTATGGATGATTACAATTTAACAGCAAAGAAAATCTTATGTTAAAACTAGAGATATAATTGGGAACGTTTCAAAGAAAAAAATATTAACGAATTATAAAAATATATGTAATTTCAGTTTAATAATAGAGAAATTCTATAATTTTAACTTGATACAAAAGTTGATGCATTTCAAAGAGAAAAATAATAATAAATAAATAAAAAATAATAAAAAATTAAACGGCAAAAATTTCTATTGCTATAGGCGCGAGATAGATAACATTTCAAAGGAAAAGTTAAACATTTCAACAGCTACTTTTATAAAATTTCTATATCAAAACTAGAAAAACCACAGAAGCCGAGAGTTTAGTATATTCACAGAACAGAACAAGAAATGCCACAGTGGCCGAGGGGGACAAATCAGGGCAAAATGCATTTATGGGTGGAAATGCATTCTACTTGATTTGCCCCTCTCGGTCACTGTGGTTTTTCTTGTTCTCTTTTTCATCGTTTTTCCCTCTCGGCTAGACTGTTTTGTTTTCTTTCTAGTTTTGTTTTGCACCTTAATTTATTTTTCTGTTTTTCGTTGAAAATTTTGTGTTTTATATTTCAAATTACTTTTATTTCTTCTTATTCACGTCTGGTTGTTGTTGTTCATTTATGTCGCACTAGAGCTGTACAATGGGCTATTGGCCACGGTCTGGGAAACATACCTGAGGATGATCCGAAGACATGCCATCACAGTTTTGATCCTCTGCAGAGGGGATGGCACCCCGCTTCGGTAGCCCGACGACCTGCACGCGGAGTCGAGCACTTTATGGTAGCACAGTTTAACGAGGACCAATACCGCACACTCTCGGTCCCTACGCAGACTGATCCAAGTGGTCATCCACCCGCACACTGACCGCAGCCAGTGATGCTTGACTTCGGTGATCTGATGGGAACCATGTCTTAACGATTAGTCCACTGCGGGACTTATTCACGTCTGGCAAATCTTGAAAATGGGTGTCTGTTTTTGAGCGCTTAAAACAAATCAACTGTTATATCCAATTGGTATATTTTTGAAGCGAATGTAGTTTTTAATTGAGTAATATCTAACCGCTTCAGTTTCTTGAGATTATTCATTTAATGTGGTTGTAAAAGTTTAACCAGAAGAGCGGTTTCATAAAAACCAGTAAAAACAAACAAAAAATAAAAAACTAATAATTAAAGTAGTATTTTTCATCATTTAATTTCATAGTTATAGGTTTCAAAAATTTTTTGAATTGTGAGTTAGATTTTTACACTTGCTGCAACAATGTAATTTTTAATTTGTTTTATCAAAAAAATATTTTTAAAACAAATTAAAAATTGCACTGATTTAGAAAACGTAAAAATTTTTTTAACTTATAATTCAGATTTTTTTTTAAATTAATTAATAAATTAATTTTAATTTAATTTAGAAAAATCAGTTAAATACTTTTTTAAAATATGTTTTTGTTCTCTTTACTTTGCATTAAATTTTAATTGGAAAGAATAACAAATCAGACAAAATTGGTTAAAACAAATTAAAATTTCACTGATTTCGCAGATGTAAAAAATTTGTTTTTAACTTACAATTCAAAAAAACTTTAAACTGATTAATGAATTAATTATTATTTAATTTATTAAAATCAGTAAAAAATATTTTTTTAAATATGCTTTTTTTTCACTTTGCGTTTTATTTATTTACTTTTAACTTTTATGAAATTGGTACGACTTATTTTTAAACAATATTTTTAAATGAAAATATCAATCCTATTTAGCATTCACTGTTTTGGGATTTTTATAAAGATTAGCAAAGGTTACCTTTTGAAGTTTTACATTGATAAACTTTACTCTTGTTTCTAATTATATTTAAGATTATCCTTTGGAATAAAAATTTTATTATTTAAAAATTCTAAGATTAAATGCCGATTTTATGCTGTTATAAATCATTACTTAAAATATAGTTTTACAAAAAGAGCTCTGTATACATATTTTTTATTAAAAATTCTTTTAAAAGAATCTTATAAAATCTTGAAATCAATTTATAAAAATATTACATATTTAGCATTAAAAATTTATATTTCTCAAGATAAATGTTTTATTATAATTTTCAAATAATTTCAGATTTTGAGACAAATTGGTGATAATTTTAATCAGTTTGAAATTAATTAGAAAATATTTTTTCTCATTCTCTCTTTTTTATCCCATCAATAGTAAGAACAGGAATTCAGTTTTTTGAGATTTAGTGAAAAAAAAAACTGAAGCAATTTTTGACTCATCGTTAGTTGGAGTTTATATTTTCTAACCCTTTGCTCATTTTTAACTCAGTATTTCATGTGTAGGAAAGAAATGTTCACTAAATTAAATTCCCCACAATTTGTCACTTGTAATGATCTGATTTTGATGGTATCGTTTTTTCTGCTTTTCCTTTTGCCGGAGAAGGGTCACATGGAGGGTTTCGTTTCTCCGCGCGCATGCGCATTAGAGTTTTAATTAAAATTGAAGTTATCATGATGTGAGCGCCATTGCTAGCATCTAGGATAATTTTTCGTTGTTTTATAGTGTTTTAATTGAAGCTGTTTGGATATAAATCCATCGAAACGGCTTCTAGAAAGGGAAGCTAAATGGACAGTACGTCCATTATTACACAAGCTAGCAGGGAAGAGGAACAACTTACAAGTTTTCCTCCCGAAAGAGGTTAGTGCATGATCAAAATGGCGTCTTTCTTGCGTTGTAATATTTAAAATGCATTTATCAATCTTTATTTATGTTTGTATGCATGTGTGCTTTAGATTTCTGCTATTTCATATTATTTTTTCATGTATTAGCTATTTTATATGCTTTCAACAATCTAATCGCATTGCGATGTCGTCAGCATATAGTTTACTGTGATTTTGCGCGCACAGATTGTAGGCTGCGTTTTGACAACAAACATAACGCCTCGCAGATGACGGCATCTGTTAGGCCTAGTTTCAGAAATATTTTCTAATTAACCCTTCCGCTATGCTTCATTTTAAATCCTTTAACGAACGAGGGCACACCATGTTTGTTTTTTTAATGCAAATAATTATTTTTGTAATATAACGCTGCATGTTGTCTTTTAACCTTGACTCTGCACTGTTTTAACCCTTCATTATAAAAATGTATTTAATCGTTGCTGCTAATAATTAAGCGAGTAAAATTTAAAGTTTAAACAACTGAATATTCTTTATTAAAATGACTCGTATCATTTTTGCATCAAAGATTTAAATAGCATTTTAATTTTAGTGATCATTGTTGACATTTCTAAAATAAAGATTTTCTTATTTAATGATTGTACTTAATTTAAATTTACTTTATGTATTATGTTAAATTACGAGTAATGCATTAACAAATTAAATCTTTATTGAAAGTTCTTTGTAAGTAACGCATGCTATGAATTGATATTTATCTCTTCTGATAGTTTCGAACATGTTAAAAATAAGCTAGGAATGATCATATTTTTCAGTATCAATCTCTCCACCTTTCTTGATTTTTATCAACTTAAATGAAATATTTCAATATTAATCACCATAATGAATTGTTTTTTTAAAGTTTTAATATGGTACCTATGCTGTCTGTTAAAGATTTAAAACAAGTAAAAATCTTTATATCAAGGATGCAGCTAGGGAAGATTTCCGTATCGTGATCTGTGGCAGAAATATCGCCAAGTCTTGGCAATTTCCGGGCAGCGGCTTGCGAGAAACTAAAAAAAAACTTTCAGAAAGGAACTAACTCGAAAGGCATAACTCGTAGCCACTCCCGGGCACATATCTACATTTTTTTTTTAAAATAAAATTTTTGATAGTAATTTTTGTGATACTTCTGAATTATTTCCTTACCTTGATCTCTGCCAAAATAATCAAGTCTTGTCAACTTTTGGGCGGTAATCCATGTGAGGACTAACTCATAGCAACTCCCAGTTTATGTTGATATATTTTAAAATTTTTTTTTTGAAAACCATATAGTGTTTTACGTATTGTAGCTTGCTTAACTTATTAAAATACGAAAATGCCCCTGATTTAAGATATTGGATTATGGGTGATCTCATTTTGCAGGGGTCTGTCCAGACATTTTGTGAAAGTTCCATTTTTGTAAAATTGCGAAAAAATTACTCGTAATTTGTGAATATAAAATAAACGTTATGTCACATTCTTTCAACCAGGGTCCTGCTTTTGTGAAGTTGTGCAAATGTTATTGCTAAAAACTTTTTCAAGGAGTTTTTAAATTGTAAAGAGATACAAAATTATTATGCTCAACACTGTAAAATTACAATAATAATAAAAAAAAATTTAAGAGATAAACAGCAATTGCTGCTACTAAATTAGAGATGCAACATACAAATATTTGGTATTTAGCCTATGCTACTGAACACAGAATATTCATTTCGGACGAATAAAGGAAGAAGCATCTACCGTAGACAAAACAACAACTAACTGTCTTCCTCCCCCCCCCCCTGGGAGAGGGTGGTTTATTCGATTAACAAATCAATAATTAAGATAACAAATATGTGAAGGATCCGATTAAAAGATAAATTATTTTGTGAAGGGTCCGTTTTTCTGAAAAGATATTTTGTGAAGGGTCCATTAATGGACCCAAATTTCTCCTAAACAGACCCCTGTGGGTACACTCATTTTGTTTAATTAGGATCATTGCAAATTAAATTCAGCCTGTAATGAGCTGCATTAATTTATGCTTGGTTAAAATAGATTTTTACGACGCTTAATAGATCTAGTTCTAATATAGTTTAGTATGATATGAAGTATATAAAGAAAATAGATAGTTCCGTATCATGATATGTCACATCAGCTATAATCACCCAGGTACCAAGTAATTTAATTGAAACTTTAAGTTCACTGTTTTTTTTTTTTTTTTTTTTTTTTTTTTTTTTTTTTTTTTTTTTTTTNACTATAAGTTAATACCATGTATGAAAAGAGTTCTATATACAAATTTAAAATTCATATAATCTGCTTGACAAATGTAAATATAAAGCATTGTAGAATTTTTTTGGATTGGACTTCTGACAGAAGAATGGTGGATTAATGCCCATCAAATCAACAGAATGCTAAACAACATTCGAATATATATTGTATATCTGGGTGTATAAGTCAACCTTTCAAACTCCTAAAATTTTATGGAAATCGGGAGGTTGAATCAGGAAAATTAAGTCAGATATTTGTTGATAGTCAAAGATCAATGCATGATAAACAATGAGATGAATAACTTCCTATTTGTTCAACTCAAAAACTATTTTTAATTTGTTATATGCAATTAATTTTGCCTTCAAGTGATGTCTCTTGAGGAAAGTTTAACCTTGTGACCTCAGTGCGTTTTTTAATGCATCTTTGAGGGAGGGATACCTCTCATAGCATCCTTATTTGAAGGCAAATTTATCATATCCGAGTTAAACAATGCAATATATTTTTAATTTTAGAATTTTTTATATATATATATATATATTAGTGGGCGACTCAGCATATCAGAAATTGGTCGTCTCATAATTAAAAGTAGGAGTCCCGACTAAATATCTGATGGTATTTTAACATTGCTTCCAGTTATTGAAGGAATGTTAAGACTATAATGGTGTTGATGTAAAAGTAAATAAAATAAATGTAAATAATAAATGTTTAAACATTTGCTTAGATATGGGCAATGTGTTAAGAAAAATAAAACTGTTTAAATACTGTCAGGGGTCTGTCCAGACATTTTGTAAAAGGTCCGGTTTTGTAAAATTGTGATCAAATTACGCGTAATTTGTGAATATAAAATAAACGTTAAGTCACATTCTTTCAACTAGGATCCGTTTTTGTGAATTTGTGCAAATAGGGTCCATTATTGCAAAAAAACTTTTTCAAGGAGTTTTTAAATTGTAAAGACATGCAAGATTATGTTCAACACTGTAAAATTATAATTAAAAAAATTAAATTTTAAATAATAAACAGCAATTGCAGCTACTAAATTAGTGATGCAATATACAAATATTTGGTATTTAGCCTATACTGCTGAACTCAGAATATTAATTTCGGACAAATAAAGAAGCGTCTGCCGTAGACAAAATTTAGTTTTAGTTCGTTTACATCTGTCTTTCTCCCCCCCCCCTTCCTGGGAAGGGTTTATTCGATTAACAGAACAATAATGAAGATAAGGTGAAGTGAATAATGAAGATAAGGTTTGTGAAGGGTCCGATTAAAAGATAAATTATTTTGTGAAGGGTCCATTTTTATGAAAAGATATTTTGTGAAGGGTCCGTGAACGAACCCAAATTTCTTCTAAACAGACCCCTAACGGTACTATTTAGTACAGTATGCACACCAAGGCTCAAAATTAAAGTTGTCCCTGCCATTGCATGTACTACTAGGTTCCGTTTCGGCATGTATTTTTTAAAATCTTTTTTTGTCTTGCTGGGCATGCAAGTACTCAATCGGAAATATTAATGAAGCATCCCTCAAATTTTGATGAAAATCGCAAGATATTTAATTAAATGGGACGGGGGGAAAAAAACTGCACCAAAAAGACCATAATTGATTGATCACTATGCATGTTTTCTATGCATGTTTATTTATAAATGCTTCATATTTATAATAGCTAATAATTATCCTTACACTAAAATTTTGGGTTTTTGAAGTGATGGATTAAACTATGGTTTTAAGACCAGATAAACCTCAATTATTAAATACTTTCCAACCCTGCTGGCAAGGGATGTGAAAATTTTAAGATTTATCAAGCCCTGGTGCTCATTATTTTAGTCTAGCCTTTTTTTTTTCTTTACTTCTGCTGGAGGTTTTCCATAATTATTTACAGTGCCATCCCTAAGCTTCATTTTGGTTGTGGGTCTTTTTTTGCTGCAGTATTTTGCTAAGGTTTATTAATTTTTTTAAATAACTGTTCAGATATAAATATGTTTCATGGTTTTCACTTTTTATCATTCAACTTATCTATGCTTATATTTTTAATTTAAAGTTCGCAAAAATTTAAAATTGTTATGAATATCTTTTTGTATTTTTCCTTGCATTTGAATGATGGATTAGTTTTTGATATTTGGATATTGTTTATACAGTTCCCTATCACTTTGAGATATTGTTTAGTTTTTCTGTGTCTCAGTTTTTTTGTTGTTTATTTTAGAAGTTTAATCATTCATTATTTAGTTCTGTATTGTAATTTTCAGTTTTTTTTATTTACTTATTTAAATGTCACAATTTTAATTTAGCTGGTTTCTTTATATCTTTTGTGATTTTTATTGGGGTATGCTAAGAATAATCACTAAGCTGTCAGAGAAACTCAGAATTTTATAATTATATATTTATTATTATATATACTTTTTTTTTTTTTTTTTTTTTTTTTAATTTTNTTTTTTTTTGAGTTTATAAAGCAGAGGTAACTTTCCCTATATCAATTTAACCAAAAATTTTGAAAATATTTAAGACATGTGGTTGTAATTTCTTTGTTTTGTATTTTAATAGCTAGTTCTTAAATATGTAATAATGGTAAATTTTCGTTAAAATTTTATGTTTAAAATAAATACGATGCAATTGTTTCTTGTTAATGCATCTTTGTAGCAGAATTTTTAATTGTAAACCCGAAGTTCCATACATTTGTTTGTGACACCGGTTAGATAGGTTTAGTATATTCACAAACAATAAATAGTGCAAAATTTATGCTTACTATTGATATAGAAAAAA